TGTGTGTGTGTATATGTGGTGTGTATATGTGGTATGTATGTGTATATGTGGTGTGTGTGGTGTGTGTGTGTGTGTGTGTGTGGTGTGACTGTGTGTGTGGTGTGTGTGTGTATATGTGGTGTGTATGTGTGGTGTGTATGTGTATATGTGGTGTGTATGTGTATATGTGGTGTGTGTGTGTATATGTGGTGTGTATGTGTATATGTGGTGTGTGTGTGGTGTGTGTGTGTGTGTGTGTGGTGTGTGTATATGTGGTATATATGTGTATATATGGTGTGTGTGTATATGTGGTGTGTATGTGTGGTATATATGTTTATATATGGTGTGTGTGTGTTAGGAATCATCCTCAGTTACTTCTCCACATTATTCACTGAAGCAGGGAATCTTAATCACACCAAGATCTCACTGATATGGCTGGCTAGCCTCACTAGCCAGGTTGCTCTGAGGGCCATCCATCTCCACCTGTACATTTTACCTGTGGTCTCTGGATCTAACTCCAGCTCTCATGTTGGTGCATCACGTGTTTTAAGCACTGAGCTCTTTCCTGCCTTTCTGGGACCATTTCTTACAGCTTCCCCTTCCTTCCCCAACTCAGTCCTCTCCCCAACTCCGACAGTCAGCTCTTTTCACATGGCCATGGCCCCTTGAAGCTCACAGCTGACTTACCGATTCCACAATTCTAGAATCCAACCGGCAGGCCCTTCCTGTGTTTCCTGAGCATATCTATTACACAGGGCAACTAGAGAAAGGGGATGAGGGGGGATGGGAATGGGATGGGGTTCGGGTCTATTAGGATGGATGGGATAGAGATGGAATGTGTTTGCTTGGGACTCCAAACTCAGGTCTGAGGTCATTCCCTTGTTGTGCATGGTGGCAAAGGTCTTTTATTTAACCATTGCTATACTGTAGCAAACTAAGGGACATACGTTGGTTTATAAAAAACAAGAAAAATATTAAGCATGATGGTATAAACCTATAAACCGAGCACTTAGGAGGCTGAAGCAGGCAGATGATGAGTTCATGCCAACCTACACAGTGACTTCCAGGCCAGCTTAGGCTACATGGAGAGACCCTGGTCCCAACACCTAATCCCTTAAAAAAATTCTACAAGTGTAATACGGCAGTGTTTAAACTGGGCATTCTCTGAGTTCTAAAGCTGGCCACATATGAAAGGTTCACAGAGCAAGAGAAGGTGTTATTTAGAAAAAAGCCTGGGTTTTTCTGGCTGTATACTTTGTTTTATCACATCTGACACTGCCCTGAGACAGCCAGGGTTCAGTTGGCTATGGCTGAACTCTTCCTCTACTTAGGCCCTGATGGCTGAATGAACCAGGTGTCACTAAGCCCCAGGCCCTCTGCTCCCCATCAGGCGGTTCAATTTGACAGCTTGACATCAAAGTCTGTTCACAGGCTCCGACAGACAGTTGATTTACTTCAAGCCCTCACTGGAAAAGTTCTGGTTCAAATAAGGAAAATGTTCATGGCTGAGGGGGGCGGGGGGCGGGGAAGCAAACACTCTCCCCTTGTGTACTTTAACAGCTTAAGTCAGAGTAAATAATCATATGATTCAAATGACTGTAAGTGACTCTGGCCTTTCCGTGGGTGGATTTTTTTATGACTATTGAACAATTTGATACCTGCCCTATGTCACCATCATCAACAACAACAGGATCACATAGCAATACCTTTTCAAGCATGCCAGACCAAGCATCAGCATGCACCAGTGATAATACCGCACATGTAAAGACAGGCTTCCTTTACTAAACCTTGCTTGCTTGCTCACACCCTTTAGCGTAACTATTCAAATACCTAGAGGTGCCAGTAGTTTTCCACAACCCACACTTAGGACACAAATCATAGACAGAAAGGGTTGCTTGTTAAGGATTTGTTTTTCTTCTGTTGTCTTCTTCTAATGCTAGAGAAAACATCTTAATAAAGGGAACATTTGAAAGTGTAGATTGCACTCAGGAGAAGTAGCTAGCCTGGGTTTCTGCCTAATGGATACACAGTAACAGAGTTCCTGTCCAATGGATACACAGTGACATATTAATGTTTTAGGAAACTCTGGCATTCTTACTGTGCAAGGGAGACACTGGGGGCTGGCTACAATGACAGTTTGCCGTTTAAGGCTTCAGAATCATGTCAAAACAAGCATCTCAGATAAAAAGAAGGCAAGATAAGTGATAGTAGTTTTTTTAAACATGCCTTTTTTTTTTTTTTAACATGATAGACACTTTGATGATCTGAACAACAGAATTGCCTTTAATTCCCCAAACAGTCTGTGCTCTTTTGCCTTTTGGCTTCTGCACACACAGGCCTCTCTACCTGGGTGTTCTTCCTGCTTATAGCACACACACTCCTCCAGCTCTCTAACATCTATGTATACATCACAAGTTGATTAAGAAAGGAGTCTGTAAGCACGGGTGGATATAGGTGCCTGCCATTGAGATCACCCACCTGAGCTCTCCAAAGGTGTCCTCTGACCTATTGCTTACACACACTTTAACACATACTCAAAATAAATGCAATAAAAGCACAAGAAATAAGCAAACAAACAAAATGAGAACATTAACTTCTCATGTTACTTGGGGGCTTTACAAATTTTCTGCTCCTTGCCCCAAGTAGCAAGCGGAAGAGAAATCCAGATCGTGTAGGTGATGGACAGGAAGCGTACAGTCTCTTTAACAAGTCATAGGGATGCTTTTAGAAGTGATACACAGAGTCCCGTTTTATGATCTCTAGGAATTGAAGGATACAAAGAAGGAAGTCTTTCTAATCCAACAGCAGAGACTTTCAAAGCCACAGTTGATGCCCTGGGCCATGAGCGTTTCTTAATACCTAACCTGCACAATTGAGACTTATTTACGAAGCCGAATATGATTCAAGACTGTACAAACTAACTTACCTCGACGTATGAAATTGGAAATATTCCTATTTTGTCTGCCAGCATTCCCTCAGCCCAGTTTTCGTCCACTCTGCGGATCACAGTCAGTACGTCGTCCTGAAGAAACGAAAAAGCTGTGAATCAATCTGATCCCAGTAAATGCCCCACTTAAGTAAGCACCCTCAATAAAAGGACTGAAGTTTTAACAATAGATGAATAAAAATTCTGTAACATACCTTTAGTACACAAAACTATAATCTTGTCACAGTCAAGCAGTAACTGCTGGTTAACCTGATATTCTTTAAAATTCTTTGACATATTCATTTGTAGCGGGGTGGGGGTGGTGGCAAGCAATATCGTGCATGTGGAGGTCAGAGGACAATTTTGGTGAGGTGGTTTTTTTTTCCTACCATGTGAGTCCTGGTGCTCAAACTCAGCTCTCTTGTCAGGCTTGGCAACAAGTCCCTTCACTAACTGAGACATCATGCCAAGCCCAGGTACTCAGGAATGATGGAGGAAAGCTAAAAGCAATCCTGTGGATACTATACCTTTGCAAAGGGAAGGCAATCTTTGTCAGCTTCCTTGTCTTTCACTTCAAAGTCATAAAGTGCTTTGCACTGAGGTGGGGGCTGAGGTAACGGTTTGATGATCTGCACAAAGTTGGTGGGGAAAAAGCCGTGGACCCCGTTGACTTCCCCGTGGTACCAATTTTCATCCACTTGTCGGCGCAAAATGATGATGTCACCTTTGCTGAACTTAAGGTCTCCAGGCTCTTTTCCTTCGTAGTTATATAATGCTTTGGCACACGGTAACTGAGGTATTCCCTTAAAGAAAGAAAGGGATTTCAATGAAATAACAGTGAGGTAATGCCTCTGAAAATATAATTGCATTCTTGTTGTCTTTTAAGTCAAGATCAGATTTGCCCTTGGTAGAAAATCTTACATAAAAACGTAACTTCACTTTATTACAATACAAATACAAAGTACATGGTATCCCTGTATCATCCCCAGTACAGCCTCTATACCTAAATTTAATATAGAGATGTTTTGACTTTGTTAGCTTAGGATTACTGTCGGAGTCTGTTTCCCGATGTGAAATTTAAAATTCATAAAATCTAAACTTAATTTTTACGTTAATAATTTATTCATCAAGATAGATGATATTGATGGAGAAGAAAAATTTAAGCCAAAGCCTAATTCATCAACTTCATAACAGGTTAGATTTTGGGCAAATATTTTTCTGATGTGGCTTTTAACGTGGGCATCAGGTCATAGTATTTTATGAACTCAGTAAGTATGTATTAAGACTCCTTTCTATTACCAAATATGGAATACAGCAGTAAGGCTACCTCAGAGTCTGAGTGTAGTAGTTAGCACTACTGTCAACTTGATTCAGCCTAAAATCACCTGGAAAGTGTCTCAGTTGAGCACTTGTCTTTATGAGGTTTGTCTGTGGGCATGTTGCAGGGGACTGCCTTAATTATTGTTAAGAGTTTGTCTGTGTGGAGTTATCTTGATTGTTAAGTGTTGGTCTGTGAAGGACTGTTTTGATTGTTAAGTATTGGTCTGTGAAGAACTGTCTTGATTGTTAAGTGTTGGTCTGTGTGGGATTGTCTTGACTGTTAAGGGTTGGTCTATGTGGGATTGTCTTGATTGTTTCAAGTGTTGGTCTGTGTAGGACTATCTTGATTGTTAAGTGTTGGTCTGTGAAGGACTGTCTTGTTTGTTAACCATTTCTCAATGTGGGATTGTCTTGATTGTTAGGGGTTGGTCTATGTGGGGTTGTCTTGATTGTTAAGTGTTGGTCTGTGAAGGACTGTCTTGTTTATTAAGGGTTGCTCAATGTGGGATTGTCTTGATTGTTAGGGGTTGGTCTGTATAGGACTGTCTTGATTATTAAGGGTTGGTCTCTGTCTGTGTGAAACTGTCTTGAATGTTAAAGGTTGGTCTGTATAGACTGTCTTGATTGTTAAGGGTTGGTGTGCATAGGATTGTCTTGATTGTTAAGGGTTGATCTGTGTAGATTGTCTTGATTGGTAATTGATATAAGAGGGTCCAGCCCAGTAGGGGCAGCACCATTTCATAAACACATAATCCTTAGCTGTAAAAGCCAGGTAAGGAGGAGCCTGTGAGCAAGCCAGCCATCTGTCAGCTCTCCTCCACAGTTTCTGTTTCAAATTCTATTTGACTGTTATCCAGGGTGTAAACCAAATAAATCCTTACTTGTTGCTTTTGGCCAGAATGTCTTATCACAGCAACAGAAAGGACTCTAGAACACTACCCCCTTAGGCTTTATAATCTCTAAGTGTTCAGACATGGTCTTCTACCATTTAAAATACTCAACATGATCTTCCTGGTTAAATAGCACAGTGAGACTGAGAAGCAGAGAAATGAGGTTTTAAACATTACAATCTAGTTTTAAACGGCAAGGTAAAAATTGCCTGCTCCTGCACGACAATTTAATCATCCTGTGGATTCAGTATGACATGCCTTAATGGCTCGTGGTGCCCATTTGTGAACGTTAGTCAGCACTTTAAGATTCTTGGCTTTCCTTCTGCCTATCACTGATACAGAGGATAAACAGTGAGTCAAATACATCTCTAATAATTTGCAGAATTAGATTGCAGCCTTCTGCTCCTCATATCCTCAGCCATGTACTCATCCATGTGGAAGACATTCATCAAGCTTTCGTAAAACCAGGCAATGTGCTAGAGCTGAAGACACTAAAAAGAAATAACGCACAGTTCTCCTCCTTGAGAGGCAAGGCAGGTAAAGAAATGATAACCCAGTGGCATAAACTCATTCAAGAAAATGCCCACTGCTTATGGGATGAAGGAACTTGGGGCTTAGCAGATGGAAAAAATGAACTATTTCCCCAAGTCTTCATGGAAACCTAAGGGGTTAGCTTAGCAATGTTGGGGTAGATGGATAGAAGGGAAAGTGGGAACATTCCATACACAGGGGACAGAGCTAGCAAGAAGCACTTTCAGGGACACAGGTGCTGAAAGAGCACTGGCAGCGTAAGGTTCATGGGGGGCCAGTGGTATCAAGTTTACAGTGGGTCTGGAACATTGTTAACCATCTTGAGTCAATGGGTCCTTCAAGCAACAGTCAAGTGTTTGAAGCAGAGATGGATACATCACACTGTGGGCCAGGCAGATGGGGCCGGAAGTAAAAGAGATTATGGGTTGGCAAGTAGACGGATGACAGCTACATGTGAAGCAGAGCTGTACAACAGTTGAATTTTTTTTTAATAACTTTAATCTTTCCAGAAAAGTAAAGCAGAACACGTGTTCACTCTCTCCACACTCTACTCACACGCACAGAAGATCAACCTTGAACACTCTTACAATACTTTCCAACAATCAGCTTGTTTTAGAATCAGTCCACCCAAACTTTTTTTTGCTAAATATTTCTGTTTGAATGAAGGCAAATAGTGATTCATTCTGTCAAGATGCTACCTTGCCATCGCTTGGTCCATGTGATGTTAATTAAAATGGTTCTGAAAGTCAACGTGCGCACGTTGAGCCATCTAGGGATACGGATGCCCTCCTGTGCCCTTTTGAATCCTGCCTTAAGTCTTAGCTTTTAACAGCACAGTTCCTGTTGCTTGACCTTGGTGCGACCTTGTAAAGAAACATCTGCTGCCATGCCCTCTGGTTCTTCCCACATGCTCTTTGGGAGCTCTGGCTTTTCTCAGTGCTGTGAACTCTGACTATAGTCTACCTAACATCCAGTTTTAAGGAAGGTAGAATTCCAATCTCTGTCTCTCCTCACATACGGTCTACACAGTTCTTTTCTATATTATGTATTTCGCAAAGCCTGGTTCTCACAGCTTAGCAAGACTTCCTAAAGCCAAGCTTGAGGAAATGAGTGTAAATCAGCATAGCAGTGAGTGTTGCTGAGGGTTGGGGGTGGGGCGGGACGGACTGGCAAGAGCATGGCAAGGAACCGGAGTTAACTCTTGCAGCCAACGGGACTGTGATAAGGCCATGGGGGATGGATCCATTCCATAGTCAGAACACCAGCTCGGCTGCTTACTGCCTGTGCAACCTTGGGCAGGTCAGCTATCCTGGTGCCCTGGCATTGATATCTGAAATTGTTGTGAGAATTTGGTGAGTTTATTCATTTAAATTTCACAAAATGTCCTAGGAAGAACTAAACTCTACATTCACGAACTGGCATCATCACCACCATCATCACCATCACCATCATCATCACCATCATCACCACCACCATGGCCACCACCACTGTCGTCATCATATTCACCAGTGTGAAAAGCCTTGTCACCAGTGAAATGGGGCACTTGACAATGCATTTGTTTTTATGCAGCTGAACCCTTTCCTTTTGAAGGGATTCACACAACAATCATATTGTATATGTATGTGTATGTGTGTGTGTGTATACATATATACTCATATATTCACTGTACAACAAAGAAAAGAATGTTCCTCCCAGGAAGTTCTCAACAATTTTGAAATGTGCATTTCTGAGGCCCACATTTGTTTTCTGAGCCGAATCCATTCGTCTTCTGGTTGCACAGAAGAAATTACAAATTCCCCGACACGCACCGTTTAATGGGGAGTGGCATTTCAGATCTGGCTGTAGTTCATCTTGACAGGGCTAATGTAAAGCATTGGAGGGCTGCATGAATTAATTGGAAATCCTATTACAGACTCAGTGACAAATAACTCTATTCACCATTATGGCCATTCTCCCCCTCTCCCCCCCAACACCTCAATTAGCTGTTTGGCCACCTCCACCCTAGATTCATGCCAGATGAATCCACACACCAAGATTCAGATGTGGTGCTCTTAGAAACCATTTTCAACGGCTCTTTGAAGAGATCTGTAAAGTCCCAAACGGCCCACAGTAAGGTGCTTTTGTGATATGCTGATGCGGGAATAGAGGGAATTTATTTCTTTACAGATCATTTCCACACCCCAGTGGCCTAATGGACTTATTAACTCTTCCACAAAGCGAATCTATTAAGTTCTCCTAAAATCATCAAGCATCCTTAATAGAACAAGTAGCAACGGGAAAACCGATTACGATGATGGCGCTATGCATTATGGTTAGCCCGGGGTTACTGGCCCCCATGCAACCAAAACTTCATTAATTCACACTGACTTGCTAAATGTTGACTGCCACGGTTATTTCCGTGATCAATAACCACGGAGGAAGAGTCATAAAGCTTACGGCACCCGAACCCACGAGCACACAGTTGTGCATCTGGCAGTGTTTTTCTATGGTGTTCTTTTTCAATTAAATTCTAAGACACTGGAAAGCCAGCTTGTGTCAAGTTTCTCAAAGGAAGGTTTCCCACATTAAATAAAATGAATTCTCTTTCTGATTTCAAATCGAGCAAAGTTCAGCGATCTTTAGAAAACTTATTCCCACACACACTGCAGATGATTAAGGATAAATGGTTTAATGACTTGGAAGAGCCATAAAAGAACGCATTTTCCTGCAACATCTGAAGGAAAAAAGCCAAAACAATTGGTTTGAAAAACCCTAGGACTTGTCTTGTGAGTAAAATAAGCCCTGGCCCAGGGAGGCCAGGCCTGGTCATTCATCTCCTCCAAAAGGTCTGAGAGCAGTGTCATCACCCGAGCCTCTGCCCTCTGTGCCTTCAGCTGCTTGTCTTTTGGATCCTCACGTTGGGCCAGGGCCCCTGAGGAACCGCAGGGCTTAGATTTCACTTGGAGACTTTCACTTGGCTACACATGAAAGGGAGGCTTAAAAGGAGAGAAAGCCAGAGAGAAACCACACTGCAGCCCAACCTGGGGTATGTGGCTGCCACTCAAGCCTCCAGCTTTATCAAA